AAGGCTACAAGCCCATTTCAGGTCAGTGACCTTGCTTGACCTTTTCAAGGTCATGCTGACCAAAATATTACAAGAATCATCTGAGTTTTGCACTTGAATAAGCGGTAAGGATTACTCTAGGCAGTATGTTCCTAAAACAAAATGTCGACCCTGGTCATCTTAGGTCAATGACCTGTTCTGACCTCTGAGAAGTCAATGGAAGATATATAACGCGGTTCCTGCTGTCAATAAATTCCAAATGAGCACCACAAACTATCCCATACAGCAAGCCCTAGAGTAATAAATCAGGTTGTTTTTTACCTTGGTCTGACCTTCACACATGACCTTAGGTCAACGCAATTTGCTCATTCAATATTTGTAGTGCCTCAGAAGGCATCTCAGAGATGTATGGCTTCGTCAAACACTCCATTATTGTATGAGATTGAATGATTCCCTAGAAATTGCCCTCGCTGAAACCATTGCCTGACTTTGACCTGCCATAGGCAACGACCTTACAAGATACATCTAAATTTGTATGTTAAATGATCCGCTATTGAACTGTCTACGGCTATGCAAAATTTGGCGCGGCTACGCCGCGCCCTTCGAATAGCATTCTGGAAAAACCTTCGGGGGGGGGTCAATTTGACCCCGACCCCCACCCGACCGCGTGTTAATAAATGACGACATGTGAGAGGGCGACATGACAAATGTTTTCTTGGTGGCTGACTGGCTCAGCAAATCGGAATGGGACCATGCCTGGTAATCCTGAGCATTCGGCTGCTGGACATGTGAATGTTCCGCTCATTCCATTATATGATTTCAGCAGCAACCAAGATTGGATGGTAGCTGACATTAAAGACGAGTCTGCCATGTATTCCTTACATTTTAAGCTTTGATTTCCATCTCTTGCAGTGGAGTATTGCGATATCAATATAACAGTTTGCAAAATGTCCGTTCGTCTGTCCGTTTGATAAGCACAAATAGAATTGCGGCTCGGAAACGGCGCCAGTTGGCTTCGCAGATCTTGGCGTGTGGCTAGGCAAGCAAGGCTGGATCATTGCAATCCATTTTTGACCGGATCCGGCCGGTGGGGCGCCGTGAGCGCATGTAAACGGATGCTACTCTTTTAAAACGGGAAATGCGAAATTTCAAACGAAGACCACCGAAACGCATGGCGGGCAGCTGTGCGCCACAGCGAAACGGAATCCAGACATTTAGACGCAGAACAGAACGGACAATTGTGCGGGCAAAGTTGTCAATCGGTACGCGCTGGGAGCACGTGCACTCATGCAGATTTCACAGTTTGATAACTTTTTCAGGATTGTTGTCAGATCTCGGCCACCCGAGCAAATAAAGACGTAAAGCTAACCACACCGCGCAGGTGCATGTATCGTCTACAAATGACCCAGATGCTGCCGCAACCAGTCCTCATTGGAGGAAAGTATTTTGTCAACAGAGTTGACAACCGCTCGCTGGTAGTAAAGTACCCGTTCCCCTAAAAAAACATCACCGGATACGGTCCAACCGAATTCGAGGGAGCATGAATTTCTTCGTCGTATTATTCGTCGTACATTTTAAAACTTTAAAACAGGAAACAGAAAGCGCCGTAACATGCAATTCTGTTCGCATTTGAAGTAAATATCCTGGAGAAACCAGTCGTTGACTGACAGCACAGACAAGCCACAGACACTCTTAATTTTGCAATGATTTGATGAACTCGTTCATCGGCCTTACCAGAAATGTTGTGGGTCGACAGAGATACTGAGGACACGTGAACGCACATCGTATAACAAAACAGGCGCAACATTTTACATTGCCATCGTCAACTCGTTTCGTCTGGGGATGTTCAACCCGCAGTTTTGACTGGGAAACACCAATAATTACGTAAGATACTTATGGATATGTGCACTCGCATATGAGAAGCAAAACCCGACATCCTGCGGTGCACCGTGCAGTCTTCATAGGCTGTGCGGCGTCGGCCCCGTGGTTAGCACTAGGTAGCGATCAACGGCCAACGGTAACGATGATGTATCTATAAAGGTACATTTGAAAGCATAAGGATACCAATTAGAAAGTTTAGAAGGCAGTTCAAGCAGGTATCTCTCAGATATATCTGGGACATATTTGGGAGGTTTACTTCTCTTGTGCGCTTTTCAGACTGATAACAGGAACGGTTACGATCTGCGACACCCGAACCGGTGTTGTAATCTGGTGGTGGAAGTGGAAAAGTCAAGGCAAAATCTGCAAATTTCATGTTGTTGAAACGATCAATATTTTTAGGGGACATCTTTAAAATTATACGGGTGAGAATTCGTCCGAGTCTATGCACTGAACGGTAGCCAACGGCACGCGTTTCGACAACAAATGCAACTCCGCCAATCAGTGTTCTTCCTTTTGAGATCGCGAGCGCAAAGGCTCAAACCTCTTTTAGATAATTGTTTCACTGGAAGATTCTGTTACGAATGGACGTCCGCAGGCAAATATAGATTAGCTTGTTTTTCGTTTTTCACATCATTTCTATTCACCGTTTTCAGCGTTAAGGACACTATCTTCCGTTCGCGGGCGAGGGGTCCCCTGGGTAGAGCCCTATGGCTCACATTGTATTTCCGGTCAGGGGTTGAAGGGTCATTTCGTCCCAGCGCGGCCGCCAACCGGCTACCATTCTGGCCACACGGGGAGGGGTAACCTGGTCACGCGAAGGTCCTTAGAGGGACTCATCTTGCATTGGTCCCATCGCTGACGCGGGCGGCCGCCTGATCGGTAAAACTGGCCCCGGATCGGTGCCCGGGCCTGCAATGACGCAGGCAGAGACCTAGTCGCCTAGCATAGGGGTCCAATAATTGGGAAAGATAATCTGGTTCAGGCTAATGGGCACAAGTAGCGTGCAGGCATGAAGGATAATCTCTCCCAAGGCTCCAGACTGTAACCAGGAAGCTAATACCTAAACTCTGAATCCCGAAATCAAAATATCACTCTGATGCAACATGGTTAGATATGCCAATGGGACAGAGAGTTTTGGTACTGTGCTCCTTTTATCATGAAACTGATGGAACATTGTAAAGCCACATGCACTGGTTGATGTCAGCTTAAGGTAGCTGTGCTGTGAGCACACATTTTATGACTTAATTGTTGAATGATATGTAACTTCCTAAGACTAAAACATTTCATAATGAAGGTGGTGTTCTTGACCACTGGCAAAATACAGCAGATATTGGAGAATATACTTTGAATCTACCAAAAACAATGAAAAACAACACCTGAAGATTATAGCAAAAAAGTTGCCACCTTTGGGCTTGACTTGACATTTTATAGAGCTCTATCAAAAATAATAACCCCATTGTCCAAAGGTGCAGCATTGCACAGCAGGTTATTGTGAATGCAGAGGTTTTAAATGGCACAGCACAAGATATACATGGAAAAGGATATCAGGCTTGTTAATGCCTGAATTTGTATTAAGACCCTCGGGCCTAAATGATATGAACATCCTGCCGAAAATAGGACAACACTTCATACATGATTGAATTGCCAGAAAAATTGTACTTGCTTCTGCACACACAGACGCACACAAGATCTTCTTCCAAGACTTAGATCATATGTCCGAGCCAAGATTTAAATGTGCTGGTCCATGTATTTTGAAACTACTTTTACCCTCAACATGGTAGTAGCATGAAAAAGCTACAAAAAACTCATGTACTACATAAAAATATTGCTTTCCATTTATTAATCTCATCTTTTAAGCTTCTGAAGCTAAATTACACCTTCTCAAACAGAGAGGTACAACAGCCAATGCAGATGTACCACATAACAGTTATCCATAAATTGTACACATACTTAACAACTGCTTGAGTGTTTTCAACCTCACTGACCATAAGCAGGCAGCCAGAGCATTGCTGCTATGGGCACAGTCATCATGAAAAAGAAAAGATAAGCACAACAGTATCACTATGCTGTGATTATGACAGCCTTTATGTCTGTAGCATCACAATGAAGAAAAAGGCACAACAGTAGCAATATTTGAGGTGTATAGGTATTATTGTGTTCTACTGGCATTGAAAACCAGAACCTCTTACCACTGTTCCTGATTATATTCAAAACCAGTGTCTGTGAGTCATTCATAGAAAAATGATTTTGGAGAGGTTTCAAGTATCCTAATCTCCTGTAACAAAAAATTGGCAGCATTGAAACAATATAAAAAACAGTGCCCTATGATCTAAGCAACAATGCTCAGGTGGTCCATGGCCAAGCAGCATATTGTGCCAGCCCCAGAGTAGGCACTGTTCACTATGTGTGACCACAGCTGGCAACTGGTTGAGAATGGTTGACTTGAGCCAGGGTGGCCATGTCATGTCACAACATTGATGGCAGGTAAAACCCTTCATGTTTTCTGAAATTGTGAGTATAAATGCACTGTTGAATTGGAATGCAGATGCAGATGCATCTTTGATAGGTGATTTAAATTGTATTAGATCTGGTGCAGCAAGGAAAACATGGCCTGAAATAGTATATTTCCATCCACAACATTCTCTAGATAGTTTTACCTCTTGAGTATGTATGTAAGTATGGAATGAGGGCAAAATTACCTAATGAACTTCATCAGCTCATCTTGGGTGATAGATTCAAAACACATCCAGCGATCTCCTTCAGTGGTATGCACTCTGAAGCTTGTCACCCATGGAAGTCACTTAAGTTAGTTCCCTAGCTTCACTTTAAAATACAAATGGCCAATGGCTGTCTGGTAATCTATGTTTGAATACAAAATAAGTTGTTGTGGATCACAGCCAGTTTTGTATGTCTGGCATAAGTAAGAGCATTCTCACCCTTCCAGCTCTGGGCAGCATGTAATACTAAACTAGTAGTTTTATGTGTAAAGAAACGTGGTTTACAACATGCCCCACTCATGATCGAGGTTCTGCAACACTGCTAGTCATCCAGATCCTGACATGTCATTATGTCCCATTTAACACAAACGTAAAATTGGAACATGACAACGAATACCTAAGGTGATGTCTTATGGTACTCACATTTCGCTGAGCCTCGCAGTACTTCCCAACATGGAAAGCTCCAGCTCTCAAAGCAGGATATCCAATCTCTAGCTCCGGAACGGTCAGCTCAGCTTCCGACGGAAGTTGGGTATCCAAGGTGATAGGCATTTTGCGGTTGCACAGGCACACCACCAATTGCAAGCTTTTCCTCCAGTCTCTACGACAATTTTACGTAAAGGTGCCCGCCTTCGCGTAGACCACCGTGCACAAGGTTGTAGAATCACGAAAACATCGACGCGAAACGGCGCGTTAGAAGACGAGGATCCCGCATAAAGAAAGAAAATAGATGTTCTTGATGTTAACAGCTGTTATCAAGACTTTTTCAAATACGGAATGATCATAAACTTCAGGTTTCGATTCATGAAACAGAGACGAGATCAGCCCGGATCACCTCCTGCATGAGGTACCTACGCCATAAGCATCTTCACTCGGAAGGCCTACTTTTGGAAGGCCTAGCCCGGGACACTTACGCTCAGATTGCCTGCTGCACTGATAATCAACGGGATTGGCCTCATACCATGCACCGCGGCTGGGCCACTGACTTACGGGGGAAAGGCAAATCTATCTGCCTCGTAAGCAGATCAAAGGCCTCTTTCCAAGAGCATAATTTTATTTTTTATCGCATAGGCTGCCCCCCCTCCCCCAACTTATGCTTCACCTCCCCCCCCCTCCCCTCCACACAACTTTGAGAGAAGCTTAGCGGACAGGACACGCCGCGCGGCCGGGGACGAACAGCCCACATAAGTAACATCATTACACATGCGACGCCTTCTTTTAGTTTGATGTTTTCACGAGATCATCCAGTACTGAAATTTAGAGATATAACAACACAATGTGGGATTTACAGCTCGAACTAGTGGTAGACAAAATGTTGCTAGGCCTAGACGTCTCTCTGAAACCGCTGAAACAGTGCTGCCAACGAGTGCTAAAGAAATCAGTGGTGCTGCTTATTTCGCACTGTCATTAGGGTCGATATATCTCAAGTGATAATTGTGGCAGTGAAGAAGCCTAACCCCGAACGGTACGTGGCTATTATTACAGACATGGCCGCTTGTAACGGTTTTGTTGCAGACCGTATGAGGGGTCTACCATTGAACAGCAAGCGTGGTGAGACATCCTTAGGTTCATGCTTGTCTGAAATATGGTCACCATAAAAGTGTAAGAACATTTTAGAACCATGCCTTGTCATATTTTTCACATGTACACAGAGGCGTCACTTTTTAAAGACGGTTGGGGGTTCAGTCGAAAAAGTTGACCTTACCCACCCCGAAAACCCGATTTCTCCCCGCATGTCGCCCACTCGAATTTCTGTCCCCGATGTTCAACATAAAGAATCTCTTTTGATATTGCATAGTTCCAACGATGTTTTGCTCCGGGAAATGACTTCCGATATGAAGTTAATGTGAACTGCCTTTCTGTGAAAGGCTTAGAATGCGACGTAATTCACAAAAATGTCTTAGTAAATCTTAATAAGAAATCGCACGCGACTACCGTTGTCGCTTATCATGTTGTGTAGCCACCACAACCATGAGCAAACGATAAATCCACTGTTCACGGTACAAATACACTTGCCACTGTTGGGGAAAGCATGCGTTAGCTTAAAATTGGGTCACACAGTACTTTCAAAGCCGCGCCATACTGCAGCCACTTGTTCTTCACCTTTCTCCAAGTGTTATCATTTGAAAATTTTGTCAAACATTTGTAGACTGGCTTAATATATGAAAAAGTTAGAATAGGAAAACATTAGGTATCTTAAGGGTGCTGTTTGGTACAAAAATGACATGATACTAATAGCGATATTTTTAGGCATCTAATATCTAGTATGTCAGTGGTTAAGATAACTGCTCTATACGTATTTGGCCCAGTATTGCTCCTTTGCATATGCATTAGGAGGGGGCTCAGAGGGGCATAGGGGGCTTTAGTCAGCATTGGGGGGGGGGGGGGGGGGGGAAGGGCACAAGCACACGAAAGTACGTGAAGTGACGAAGTCTTATTTACCTTATCCGCAAAGACATACAAAGCATCACCTCGCAAAACAGCTGCCGAGAAGCATGGAAAGGCGTCGAGCAAGCGAAGTGGCGAGCTTGCACTTGACGCTTGCAGTGCAAAGAGCTCCGAAAGAAAAGGAAGAAAGAAAAAGCTTAGGCATGCATTCGTTCTGTTTTTTGTTTAGCTAATGGCATGCCGCCAAAATATCAGCGCAGCCATGCTTCCATTTTCCTGGATTTTCTCTGAGGAATAAGGCTAGTACTGTGTCTTATCTATGTGCATAGTGCTCCTCGCAAATGTAATTAATAAGCTGCGAAAAGTTTTCATTGAGAGAACTCCCATAAAATGTCTTCAACACACCATTTTCACGGCATTTCAATAGTTGTGTCACGTAAGTTTTGCGAGATGTGTAAGACTTACTGTATGTACGTATGGATTCGTTAAAATCTCCACGACATGGTTCAACCGATTTCGGGTCAGTTCATGTACCAAACATAGTGATGAACTCATCAGTCAGTTCAAATACAATGTACGTACGAACATGTCGTTTTGACAAAGAGGCTATTGTTAAATGTCCGTGAAGTTACCGATTTATTCAGCGATGTATTCAGCGACGAATGCCAATCTCTCTGAACAAGATCTCAAGGTCAAATGTGACATAAGAACACCAAAAATGACCCATGTTTTGCAATATCATTTGACGTTTAATATAAAACCTGGATCAAAGGACGGGGAACTAGATATAACCAAAAAATTGCTGGCCGATTTTCAACTTGCAGATGTCAGGGTATTCACCACAGATAGAACTAGTGTCCGTCAGAAAGTCCTGACCTCTCAAGGTCATCCTTGAAGGTCAAACGCGGACCCAAAGGACGTGAACTCAATATCACCCAAAAATTACCGGCCGATTTTGAAACTACCAGCATCAAAATATTCACCAGCGAATATTCAAAATATTTAAGGTCACCCTTCAAGGTCAACGCGGGATGAAAGGGTGGAAAACTCGATATGACGCAAAAATTACTGGCCGATTTTCGACTTACAAACATCAGAATATTCAGCGCTGAAAGAACTAGCGTCCGTCAAAAAAGTCCTGATATCTCAAGGTCGCTCTTGAAAGTCAAACACGACCTCAAAGGACGGGGAACTCGATATCACCCAAAAATTACTGGCCGATTTTCAACTTGCAAGTGTCAAAATATTCACCACAGACAAAACTAGCGTCGGTGAATAATTCCTGACCTCTCAATATCATTCTTCAGGGTGAAGCATGGGCTACAAGGCCGAGAAGCTTTATATCAGCCAAAAAACTACCGCCCGATTTTAAGCTTGCGAGGGTCAGAATATTCCCCACAAAAACAACTAGCGTCCGTGAAAAAATGTTAACCTCTCAAGGTCATTCTTTGAGGTAAACGTGGGCTAAAAAAACAGAGAACTTTATATCACCCAAGAACTACCGGCCGATTTTAAACTGTCAACTGCCAGAATATGAACCACAAAAAGAAATAGCGTGCGTGAAAACGTCCTAACCTCTCAAGGCTATCCTTCCAGGTCAAACGCAGACTCGAAGGATGGGGAACTCGATATTGCCCAAATATTACCGGCAGACTTTTAACTTGCAAATGTCAGAATATTCGTCAAAGAGAGAACTAGGGTCCATGGAGAAGTCCTTACCTTTCAAGGTCATTCTTCATGGTCAAACGCGGGCTCGAAGGACAAGGAACTCATGTCACTCAAAAAGTACCAGCCGATTTCAAACCTGCCACTGTCAGAATAGTCACCACAGAAAGAACTAGCGTCCGTCTAAAAGTCCTTACCTGTCAAAGTTATTTTCTCAAGGTCATTCATCAAGTTGAAACGCGGGCTCAAAGGACGGGAGCTCCATATGACCCAAAAGTTGCCGGCCGATTTTAACTCCCCAATATCAAAATATTCATCTTAAATATTGACCTTGAAGGAATACTAAAACATTTAACATAAAGTGTGGCCTTGAGAGGTCAGGACGTTTTGACGGACGCTTGTTCTTTTTGTGGTGAATACTCTGACAGTTGCAAGTTGAAAATCTGCCGGTATTTTTTGGGTGATATCAAGCTCCCCGTCCTTTGAGCCCGCGTTTAACCTTAAAGGATGACTTGAAAGGTCAAAACTTTTTGACACACCTCTTAAGCTCATCCTCTAAGATCAAACGCGGGCTCTCTTGCGCTTGTGAATATTTTGACGCTTGTAGTTTTCAAACCGGCGAGTAATTTTTTGTTAACATCGAGTTCCCCGTCCTTTGAGTCCGTGATTGGCCTTGAAGGATGACATTGACAGGTCAGGACTTTCTGAGGGCCGCTAGTTTTTGTCTATGGTGAATATCCTGACAGTTGCAAGTTGAAAATGGGCTAGTAAATTCGGGGTGAATCGAGTTTCCCGTCCTGTGAACCCGTGTTTGACCTTGAAGGCTGACCATAAGATGTCAGGACTTTTCGACGGACGCAAGCTCCTGCGTTTGTGAATATTTTGTCACTTGTAGTTTTCAAGTCGGCCAGTAATTTTTCGGTCACACCGAGTTCCCCGTCCATTGAGTCCGTGTTTGACTTTGTAGAATGACCTTGAGCGGTCAGGGCTTTCTAACGGACGCTAGTTGTTTTCTGTGGTCAATATTCTGATGTCTGTAAGTTGAATATCGGCCGGTCATTTTTTGTGTGAAATCGTGCTCCGTGTCCTTTGAGCCCGCGTTTGATCTTGAATGATGTCCTTGAGATGTCAGGACCTTTTGACGAACGCTGGCTCCTGCATTTGAGAATAGTTTGATGCCTATGATTTTCAAATCGGCCGGTAATTTTTGGATGATATCGAGTTCCCTGTCCTTTGAGCCCGCGTTTGACCTTGAAGGATGACCTTGAGAGGTCAGGACTTTCTGACAGACGCTAGCTTTTTCTATAGTTAATGCTCTGATTTTTGCAAGTTAAAAATCGGACGGTAATGTTTGAGTGATATTGAGTTTCTTGTCCTTTGAGCCCGTATTTGGCCTTGAAGGATGACCTTGAGATGTCAGGACTTTTTGACGGACGCTAGCTCTTCTGCTTGTGAATCTTTTTGTGTCTATAGTTTTCAAATAGGCCGGTAATTTTTGTTGGCATTGAGTTTCCCGTCCTTTGAGTCTGCGTTTGACCTTGAAGGATGACCTTGAGAGGTCAGGACGTGTTGGCAGACACTAATTTTTTCTGTGGTGAATATTCTGATGGTTGTTATTTGAAA